CTTTCATTTATTTTTGGTTTGTAATGAATATTGAATGCATATGCCAACTTAGATATATATATATATATATATATATATGTTTGCTACCATGACAGTGGTCGCCCGTTGTGGCACATTGTCTATCACACCATAGTGCAAGGCATAAAGACAAGCATTTTTCTTTATGCAGTCTACCACAACAGATGATGCATTGCACCGCGGCGTACTGTGCCTATATGACTAAATATTTTGTTGCTTTCATTAGCTTATTTAATTGGTTTTAAACTACAGTTTAAGTTCAAACAATCTTTTGAAAAGGGTTTTCTCGAGATTTCATTTTTTTCAAATACTTAACCCTTGAGTTATGATAACTATTTATGGGATTAAGGTAATCTCAATTATTATAATGTTGTTCCGTATTTGGTGTTCTATGTGTTTGGTAATGTCAAGGATGACGTTACATCAATTGGGATGGTGATCATGATGATTGATAGTCTATGATAGGTTTTTGTATTTTTCTCAGTCATTCCCTTATCTCTTGGAGAAGAAAGAAGTAGATATTAGCCTCTCACTTCAGTATTGAATTGGAATATTATGCACTAGCAGACACTACTGCTGTAATACTTTGGCTTTGTTGGTTATTTGATGAGTTAAAAGCATCTCATAACTCCTCCACAAATATTTATTATGATAATCAAGTTGCAATCTAGATTGCTCACAATGATATGTTTCATAAGTAGACCAAACACATTGAGATTGACTATCATTTTGTTTAGGGCACCATCCGACTTGTTCTAATTTGAACCAGGAATCAACCAGCTGATTTGTTTACAAAGTATTTTCTTCCATGCCACTTTTAATTTCTAGTAGACAAACTCAAGTTTCTCTTTGTTAAGCCATCTTGAGTTTAAAGGGGATATTATCTAGAATATTCTCTAAATATCTTTTATCATTATTGTATATATATCTCAAATATTATTAGGAGATATTACTTAAGATTGTTATATAATTATTAGTTATTATTGTATTATCTATTTTCTTATGTATATAATGTACCATTCATCTCAATAATAGATACGACATTTTTCAATCATTTTTTAATTTATCTCTTTCGTCTTTGATAGCTTTTATTTACAAAATTGTAATGATATATTACTTGGAGTATTTCAAATATCGAACATACAAGAAAGCTTAGCTTTACTACTAATCCAATTAAATTTAGTCCAAACACAATATGATAATTGAATGAAAATAATAATTTTATAAAAAATTAATAATAAAATAAACAAATGGTGATCCAATCAAAAGAGTGCTTGGAATTGAATTCACCTACTTGAGTCTTTGCAATTATAGTGACAAGTATTATTACTAAAGTGTCTTAATTATCTCTCAGCTAATTAGTCCTGAGCTAATTAAGGTTGAATTCACTCTCGTGCAACTCACAATCCTAATCAAATTCTGAAACTACAATTTAAATCACCACAAATTTTTAAATCCATATCTAGTTTAGTTATTTATGTTTATCTTTTTAGATATATATAAGCTCACCCTTCATCTTTCATTCCTTCAAGTTTACCCATAAATTAGGTATTATGTTGATTAGGCATAAAATCCACAAGAATAGCAAGAGAGAGATAAATATAATTTAAAAGAAATACAAATTAGAGTAAAATACATCAACTACTCTTATAACATGATTTAATTATACAGACATCCCCTCTATTTTAAAAACCCATATGAATCTCCCTTAAAATAAAAAATATGTTACATAAACCTCCCTTGTATATTTGAGATTCCATTTCCATCTACTTAATTGTTAGTTGATCGTAAAATTTGACTTTTAAACTTTTAATTTGACTAAAATGTCCCTCTTTGACATAAAAATTTTCTGAAAATCTATATTTTCCAAAAAAATAAAAAATATAGTAAATACATTTTCAAATTTTTATTATAAAATTTATTAATTTTTATCATATTATAAAATTTTATTATTTTAATTTTTATCAATAAAATAACATAAAATGATATGAGTTTAAGAGATTCTATAAATAATTTAAATCTAAATTTTAAAATTTTTAAACATGTTTTTATAATGAAATTATGTAACAGTCAAAGTAATATAATTTAAAATTTATTAGGGTGATGGGTAGATTAGTAAATAAAATTCGTTTTAATGTAAATTTTAATTTTAAAATAAGTTTTTAGAATCTTTTTAAAATATTCTTAACAAGTTGAATGGATTGAACTAAATTGTATTTTTTTTTTAAATAGACGAAATGTCTGTGTAATTAAGGTAAAACAGAATGGTAGTCAAAGCATTTTACTCTATAAATTATATATTCATGAAGCTCAAATTTAAAACAATAGGTACTCAAAAAGATTCATAAATTCAATCCCAGATGGGCTACATCATACTCCTAGACTCTTAGTCGGGAGTTTAGCAACACATAAGAATAAAAATTAAAATAGAACTGAAATCCCAAATCATAAAAAGATAGAATGAATCTTGCTCATGTACTTCAGATTGCTTTTAAAAGATTCTAAAAGCTCCCAAAATTGAGCATTAGCCTATTGGCAGCCAAGGGGCCTTGACCTAGGTGTGGTAAAGATCAGATACTTTTGAATAATATTAAAAACTCTTATTTATAATATCTTGCACTCAATATTTCTTAATCCTTTCAAAATGTCAAAATATTATTTTTCTTGAGATTTGATTTGATTTAAAATCCAATCTTTTATTCCTTCCCCAAACTATATCATTCTTTTTCTTCTTTTTTTGTTATTTATTTTTTTTCTTGAAATTGTTGTGTCTCCACGCCACTTATTTTCTTTCCTCCTTTAATTCTTTTGTTATTTTTCCTTTAATTTAAAAAAATATATGAATAGATTATGTTTCAAAATCTCTTCTTATCTTTATAATTAAATAATAAGAGAAAAATATATAAAAATTAGTTAAATAGATATAAAATGTTAATAAATATAATCAAATATAATTCAAAATATATACGTATTTATCTGTAAAATAGTCTCTTATCACTATTAGTAGAGGGAATGATCTACGTAACATACGGACTATGCTCTGAAGGCATATGTTTCGTGTGTGTATACTTTTAATAATTTGATTTATTTTAATGAGACACCAAGAGCATCTTTTGGAGGAGGCAAAACCTAATTTTCTTTGGGCACCAAATTAAAAGGAAAAGACAGGTCTTTATCAATTAGTTTTGTTCGATGCATGTAAGTATATGAACTTCTAACCACCGATGTTTGGTTAAAAATTCAAGAAATGGATTTGGAGCAAAGAAACCACTCTTAATATAATGTCCTTTGTTTGTTTTTTTTTTTTTTTTTTTTTTGCCTGAAGTGTCGGTGTTTTGGGCATGTAACACGGATCAAATTCGAGGAGGATCCCTTTCAGGTGGAAGGTTTTACATTGATGCATGTTATGCATTTTCAAGATTCAAATTTCATATCTTTGATTAAGCTGATATCATATTACTTGTTGAATCGAGTATCCTGTGGTTTTTCTCTTAACGTCTTTGGAAGACCGTTGAAAAGTTCACTTTCATATCGGAAAAACCTTTTTTTTTTTTAAATGGGTACAGGACTTTCCCATCTAGAAAGATAGCAACTAAGTAAATTATTGTCTCTTCCTTTTGAAAGCCATGATATATTTCAAATGTATTCTTATTTTTTCACTCACACGGAACATAAAAATCGATTCCGCAGATAACTCATTACCGTTGTTCCAAACTTAACCTTATTATTAAGTGATTTGGCCAAAAAAAAAAACCTTATTATTAAGTGATGATGACAAGTCATTCTATTCACACAAGCCTGAGCTGGTCGTACATAATTTATAATTTATTAAATATTAGTTAATATTTTTGGGCTGATCGCTTAATTAAAGACCGCGGAGGAAAAATTGTCAACTATATATTATTGATTGCCATGCTGTCTCGTATATTTAAACAGCCAAAACATTCTCCATGTTGCCGACACAAGCTTTGCGATGTGAAATGATGGATAATATATATAAACCCCTAGGATAACGAATTTATTTGACATAGTACAAATCTACAAACTTCGTTGAAGGAATAATGATAGCTCAATGGTTTGCTAATTAAAATTGTACACTTGAAAAACGACTTCACACCAATTAATTCTGACTCTTATATGGTAGGGGGAAGTTGTGAGTTCATTGTCTAATACTAGTTTGATAATGTGCTATATATGATTTAAAAATAATGTGTGAATTCTAATTAGAAATATGTATGCACGTACGCACGTATATAGCAGTATTTTTACCTTAATTTCCTATATTAAATATATTAGTCACAGGATATGCTTCTATATTAATTAAATTATATTATTAAGAACTAATACGCGCACAAATTGGTTGGGATAGAAGTTTCAAGTTGAAAGGACTAATACATGGAAGCTTCTCTTCGGCCAAAAAAACAAAATAGAAGCTTCATTTTCTTTTCAAAAAAGTCACCGATATATATTAAATAACCTATGAGATTTTTTTAAATAAAAAATTAAGCGTGTTTTCTTGAAGGAGATGTTTGGGTTTGATACAATAGAATATACCATATTAACAAAACATAAAAGTATCATATACAAGTCCCACTTAACATAATTAATTACTCCCAAATTCATTAATAATTGAGTTTAGGAGAATAATAATACACTGTGTTATCATTCTTTTAAGCTCTGTTATTAATGAACTTGAGCTAATTAATTGTGTTGAGTAAAACTTTAAAATAATTTTTTCAAAAACAATCTTCGTTGTCGGAAATACTGCAGAATATGATAATATTAGTTTGATATTCCCTCAAACTTCGTCGTGTTATTTTGATTTGCAAATTTTGGGCTCAGTAGTTTGGGCTTAATATTTGGGCCATGTAATTAGGCCTGATACACAAAATCCTCGAAGCAGTTGGGTGGTGTATTATGAGCCGAAGAGTCCATTAGGAGAATACAATTAAAGTTTAAGAGGGCAGGCATTTCATAGTCAATTGAAGAAACAACAAAAGAAGAAATTCAATGCTAACATGCATACATGTAAATATAAAATTGGTCTCATTGTGGAAAATAATTGCAAGGATGTACCGGTCAAGAGATAAGCCGGAGTTATTACACTTGGGAAGAATCAAAATCAATCCCCCAGTCAAATAAATTTAAATTATGTAAGTAAATCAAGAAATCTGCTAGTAAGTAACAAGAATAAAGTAGAAAATGAATATAATGCAGCAACAACAACAACAACAGTATATATATATATATATATATAATCTAAATCTTGCAAAGGCAAGAACTAGCACTTGGGGAGATCATCAGGTGGTGCAGGCACTGTGGTTTCAGGAGTGGGCCCGTTCTCTATCTCAAACGCCATAGCTAGTCCCCATGGCAAATGTGCATCTATGTGGCAGTGCACCAACCATATACCTGTTATTTCCCCCCAAAAAAAAAAAAAAACATTAACATCTTCACCGTACAAAGGAAAAACTAATCATTCAGTATAACTTTAACTTAATTAAAACTCAATTTTTAAATTTTAACTTAGTTAAAATTCAATTCTTAAACTTTGTTTAATTTTAAAATTTTAACTTTTGCAACTCAATCTTTATAATTTTAATTATTTAAAATATTGATCTTTATATTTTAAAAAATAAAATTATAAAAAAAAATTATTCTCAAAATTGAGTAAAATGTATTGAATTAAAGTCTATAGACTAAGTTTCAATAGTTGAATTAGAAAAAGTAATTTATACTGAGTTAAAATTAAACTATACCTGGATTCTTTGCTTTGAATCTGATGACAGCCCATCCTCCGGTCGGCACCGCAACAGTGTTACGCATCTGAGGATTCACCAGATTGAACTTTCTCCGATCCCTGTTTTGATTGAACGCTCCAAATCCTTGAGCCAATACATAGAAATTCATCCCATGAATATGCATTGGGTGGTTCTCTATCCCCACAAAAGCCGTGTTCTGAAACACAATCTCCACCGTCGAATTGAACTTCAACGTCTTCACCTTCGTTGACTTCGGCGCGAATATCCTTGACAAGTCAAAGCTTATGTTCGGGTTCGTGTAGTCCAACAACACTGGAGGCTTGTCTGGGAAATCTCTTGTGTACACCCCACTCGCATCATTAAAGAATGCTTCCAACATCGACGAGCCTTTGTCACTTGGGATCACAAACGACTCATTGTTCATGCTCGCAGAGTATCGAAACCCCATTGGGCCAAGGCACGTGCCATTCTGTGCACAAAAGTCCAAATTCAGCCCAACAGTAATGAACATACGCTCATCCACTATGCGCGGACAATTGATCCAGTGAGGCCCACCGGCAAGCCCTGTGATATTTGTATAAAATTTGTGGGCCGTTGGGGTGTCGTTGTAAGCTGGCAACACCGGCATCGAAGGAAGGATTGCCTTGGAGGCTCCTTCGTAAACGACAATCCCTCTCGTTGTCGTATTGTCGAATCCTATGACTTGTGTGGTCACGTATGCAGAAGCAGCCATGTAGTAAGAGCCCACTGGCTGGTCGGCTTTCAGGAGGACGTCGGTGGTTTGCCCTGGGGCGATGACAACAACATCGGTGACATACGGAGTCGTGTACCCGGCATCCACCGCGACAACTGTGAACTTGTGATTGGCCACCTTGAAGAACATTTGTGAGATGATATTAGTGTTGACTATGCGTAACAAGTATGTCTTTCCTTGCTTCACCTTGAACTTGAAAGTATCTGCATTATATATATACAGGTTTGAATTAAAAGACTACATATATATATATATATATATATAAAATATTATATAACAATCATATACATGAAACTTCAGGAATGGCACATACGATCTCGAGAGCAATTATACAGATCGCCAGGAAAGCCATTGATTGTGAAAGCATCGGACGGAGGAACTAGGTCGCCGGTAACTTGAATTCGGTTGAATATTTGAATAATATCAGATTTCCACCACTCACCTGCAATTATCAATGGTAATTTATGTTAGGAATGAGGAATGACTATGATATACTAGTCATATTTTTGCCAAATAAAAGGGAAATATGTAAAGAAATACCTAAGAGAATGGGAACTTCCTTGTGAGGTTTAGGGAAAGGATAAGGGCGACCATGTGGGGGACGAATGATAAGAGCGCCGTAGACATAAGTACGAAGAAAAGAAGAGTGAGCATGCCACCAAAGAGTTCCTTCTTGCCCTTTGATTGTGAATTTGTAAGTATACTTTTGACCCGGTCGAATAGGACATTGTGTTATATATTCTGGACCATCTGCCCATTGACTCCCTTTTTGAAATATTCCATGCCTGCATTTACATATTGAATTTCAATTATATCTTGATAGTAAACAACTAATCACCAACTTGTTTATATACACTACTCTATGCATAGTTGTGTATTGTCCTATCAAGTCAATTCTAGTATTTATTTATAGGTTCTTAGTTCCAGCCTGTAAGATTGAGGCTACACTCAAGATCTTGTTTGCTTAAAAGTCTTACCAAAAATTAGAAAAATTGTTCATCCAATCTTAAGTGTGCGAGCGACATAAATGGCCAACACGCATAGCCGCATATGGATGTCCCCTGGTGAACCAACTACGATGTAGTTGTTTGATGAGGTTGGTTTTCGTTATACGGATATAATAAAATATTGTTTAGAAAATTCAACTTTTGAAATCAAATCGCCATATTATAAAGTGACAACATCTGATATATGGCATCAGCATGCATATATATATATATAGCAAGGTGGCTGAAAAAGTCGTTACCAGTGAATAGTAACGTTATGGGGAGAAGCATTGAGCACATGAACAACCAAAGTGTCATTCTCTCGTACCACAATTCTGGGTCCAGGAACCCTGCCATTAACTGCAGTTATCGTTTGTGTATTGCACAGACGAGTCACATTGAGATCCTTCACCTGCAAAATTAATCGCATATATAAAAAGTTTCAAATTTCAGTAATCCGATCCTATGCATGAACAGAAGTGCTTCTTAGATATCTTTATAGCAGAAGCAGCATAAAAACGGAGGGAACAACATTGATTACTTACAGTAAATGAATGCTCCACTATATGAGCAGATGAGAAGGAGGTAGCTAGAAGAGCAAAAAGTGAAAGCACCAGAAAAGCTTCCATTTTGAGAGGAGAAGAAATCTTAGACAATAAGGAGAAAAACTGGGAGCCTGAGGCTATATATGAGAAAGACTAATTAAGAATAGGATTGAACGAACAAATATCTGAGCCTGTGTCTGTGTTCTCTGCAGGCAAGGTCGCAAGATTTGTGGGTCGATCCATACGGATATATATAGTGATCAGAGTGGGATATAGTCAGAGAGATTTTGAAGCTAGCTTCCATAGGATTGCGTGTTTGCTTAATTTAATGTTATTTGAATAAAATAATGATCCAATGGGCCTTCGAGATGGATTCTGAAGGCTCAAGGTTTTATCTCGGCTAACATATAACAAGTCAAAACTCGGAATTTTCTTCTGTTTTTTTAACCTTTTCAAGATTAGTTAAGCTTAGGTTTGTAGTTGTTGATGACCTCTCATAATTAAGTGACTCCTGAAACTAATAAGAACGCGGCCCTCCAAGACTTGCTCAAGGTTTGTGAGTTGACACAACTTTTCAAACCTTTTAACGTACCGCGTTTAATTAATTATTAAAAAGGAGAACAAATAAAAAAACAAGTAAAGTCTTTTATTTTGATGTTACTTCCATTCTGGGTTAATTTAGTTCTTTGGATTGAATCTCTTTTAAACCCATTCAGTAAAATTTGTATAGGGATCGAATAAAAAGAATGAGAGAGAAACGAGTCAAGTTTTTTTTCCCAAAAAAAAAGTCACTTATGGATTTCTATAATTTTCTCGTTATTTGTTCTTCAAATTAATATTCAATATTTTTTAGGCTTTTTTCAAATTTAAGAAAAAGACGAAGACGAAAGTTATTTTTAATCTTTATAATAATTGTTTATTTGATTTATTTCATTCTTTCTCCCAAACAAGTTAAAAAACTATGGATCTTACAAAAAGAGCACATTCTCCATGATATATTTGAGTTTTACAACACATTTAACTATAGATAGAATATATATATATATATATATATAACACTCTAAATATGTAAAAAATTCAAGATGTACTTTAACTTGTAAATAATGTTCCTTTTTATATTTTTTATATGTTATATTAATTAGCATTCATGATACCTTGAAATAATTAGAATTTCCTAGTTTAATATCGAAAAACGGATCAAATTTTTTATAGTTTTAAAATGCACATACTGTCATGCAAATTAAGGGCTTATTTAAAATTATTTTTGTTTTATTATCTTGAGAATTGATATTTTGTAAAATATATTTTAAGAATAAAAAATAATAAAAATAGATATTTTTTTAATTCTGTCTTGTTTTTCAGAACAATAATTCTAGAATACTTAAAAGATGTTTTTGTTTTTTCTATTTTCTATAACAATATTTTTCTTTTTTGTTTTTCAAAACACTTTTTAAAAATACCTTACCAAATAAATTTTTTTTTTGGTTGTGGAGAACTGAAAATTGTTCCCATATTTTTAGAGAGAATTACATTTAGGTCTCACATAAAAAAAATTAATTAATATAAAATCTATTAACAACTGAATTAAAAAAATTAACAACACAATCAATTGTTAATTTTCTTAGTTCAGTTGTCACTGAATCTTGTAGTAATTAATTTATTTATGTGATATTTTAATGTAATTCTCTCTATTTTTTAATTCTCTAACTGGGAAGGAAACTCAAGTGTGGAGGAGAAGCAAAAGTACAAACTTTAACGATTTTTTTTAATTTAAGATTATATATCTGCATTTAATTTACGTTGCAACAAACAAAATCCAGGACTAATTAATTAAACAAGGAGGCATGTCATTATTTAATTTACGTGTTTATTATAAAGTTTTCAATATTATTCTCAGCAAAAAAATATTTAACAACACCACACAAACTCCTTATGAGATAATGCAAAATGTTGAAACTTACGCCCAAATTTGATTGACATTTAAACCAAATTTAAATACTCTAATAGATTTTAATTTTTCTAACAAAAATTATACTCTAATTAGTAGATCTTGATTTCTCATAATTCACCATGAGAAATTTATATACTATATTTTAGGATAAAAGAGAGCAAATTGATCCTTAAATTATAGTTGAACGTCTAAGACTCTTAACTTATTAAATATGTAATATTTTTTTAACTTTTAAAAATAGTACAATTCGACTCCTAATATTAACAATAGTTAGTTTTAACTATTATTTAACTGAAAAATGGCCGTAAAAAATATTTAAAAGGATCACAAAATTACAACAAATGACTTCAAAATTACAGATAATAACTCAAAAAATTACAAAAAAAAACTAAAAAATTATATTGGACAATTATCAGTTAAAATTAACTTTTATTAATATAATAAATGATTAAATTGTATTATTTTTAAAAGTTAAATAAGAAAAATATTGCAGCTCTTGCATGTGTTAATGGGTTTCATCCCATTCTTTTCTCTCAGGATGATTTAGTTTGTGTTATGCAGCAAGACTTGCGTACTGCAACTTAGTTTTCTTTTGTTTTTTCCTTGTTTATCCCACAAAAACCAAAAAAAAAAAACACACAAAAAGAAGAAGACGAAGGGGAACGTTGCACATTTAATAAATTTAAGATCCTAAATATGTCTGGACCTATAATTTAGGTTCTTAAGAATCAATTTTCTCTTTCACACTATATTTCACATACATTCTTATGTCTAACTTTCCCAGCGCTTCAGAGATTTTCATATTTATATAATTTGTACCGCCAAAATAATCCTCATATAAAGTATATGTTTCTTCAGTGACCGTCTCTGAATAATGATTGGCGACTACTATTATTTTTCTGGAGAAATTATAATCAACCATCAATCAATGATAGGCCAAGCCAAATTTTATTATAAAGAGATTAAAGCTACCATATTCTCCTAATCTATCTATTGTGTCAAATCTAGAAGTACGCTTACAGGAAATCAACTCAATATACTCCAATATTCAAATGCAAAAATATTTTAAAATACATTCAAACAAAAAACTTTTACCATACATACACATACATTATATATTTACATTGTACACACACTTGAGAATGTCAAAATATTTCCTTATTTTTTATTATTTATAAATATTTTTTTATTAAAAATAATCATATTTGAGGTACGGTCAGACACTTCTAATATTCCAAATTCATTTTATTGTGAGGACTAGCTTCTTTTATTAGACTATCCAACTCTTAATATTTTATTATTGAAAACATCATTTGTGGCCTTTTAACTCTAATTACCTATTTTTGATTTTTTTTTCTTGGGAATTCAACCATAAATTTGAGCTATAGGTGATAAACATGCTTCAAAGCTTGGAGTCAATTCAAAGGTTGTTTTTCATGTCTTACTAATTCATACATGGACGTTTCTTCTTATTGAAAACAATGAAAGAGATTTTCATCATTTTAAATTGTTGTTTCTCTTTCTGGTGAAGGAATAATATAGAAATTATTCAATTCCCTTCTAGACGCGACACTACATGCTTCGGATCGAAGTCTTAGCAACATAAGTAATACAACTCTTTAAAATAAATTATTCAGATAAATAAATAACTTCTTATTGATCTATCTGGTTAAATTATATTATACGCTTTGCATCCTTTTTATTTCAAAAGTCTCACGCTTTGTATCCTTTTTATTTCAAAAGTCTCACATTTGACCTGTACTGTACAGACATTTTCTTTTATATAATTTCTATCAAAAACAATTTTTTTATTACCGCCTGAGTTAAGCTGCAACCATTGAAAGCAGTTGTTATATCTTATTCTTAATCAATGTGATAATAAAGCTCATGAAATATTTTTATTTTACAAATAAAACGATGTTCATTGATAAATAAAGATAATTAGTCGAGATTTATTTTTAAAACCAAAAAGAAGTCAAGTATATGTTTAAGTTAACCAAAATTTAGTATGACTTGTTTTATAAATAAAAGGGGAAATTTAATTTGCACTCATCCATCTCAATATTTTGAATTGCAGTCCTTGATTGCAAATATTTTTTTTTTAAATACTATGCTTGGCCTGCAAGGGAAAATAGAAAGAGAAAATGAAAAGAAGAAAAAAGTGAAGGGATACAATTTTTTTTCATTGTGCTTGGCAAAGTAAGAGACAACAAAGAAGAGGAAAAAAATTGTTAATTTTATATGAACAATAACAATCTTATTATTTATAAAAATATTTATATATAATGAAATTTAATATTTTAATATATTATATATATAATAATTTCTATCATGTATTATTGATTGAATAAAATTATAATTACAAATTATTTTATTCAATTTATAATTTTATTTATTAAATTATTAAATATGTATTAATTTTGAAATTTTGAAACTACAACCAAATATAATGAACTTAGCTGAAAATTTAAAATTAGCATTTATCTAATTAATCTAAAAATTAAATATATAGCTTATTTAACAAAAGTCTATAATCAAAATATAATCACACTACAAATATAAAATTTAAAAATAAAATTTTTTCTCCAAAATCTTTCCATATTTATAGATATAAAAGTTGAAGTTAAAAACATATAGATCCTATATGTTATTTTTCTCTTACTTTTATTTATCCTCGTGGCCAAATAAGGAATAGTGCTATTTTCCCCCACTTTTCTCTCACTTTTCTCCTTCCTTCACTTTTTTCTTCTGTCAAGCATGACATTAGTGAAGATACCAGTCATTTTACTGAACAATGATGTTATATACGGTAATGAATATTGAGCATAAAGAGACAATAATAACAAAGAATTGGGGTAGCACACTATATATATTTTATATTGGTATTGATAATATTAAAAAATGGAAATTACAAGATCTTGTTCAGTAAGCATCACCTAAAAGATACGAAATGATGGAGGATATGTAAAAAGGAATAAAAATAAAATCCTGCGATAACGAATTTAGTTGAACAACATTTGGTAAAAGAACTTTAAATAGTTGCTCAATCAAAAGTATACATTTTAAGAATCATTACACGCCAATTTTGACGTTTAATACAGAGTGGGTGGGGGGAATAGGTTGTGGCGTTCATAACCATCACTTTAATTAGTTTATTAAGATTATTTTTATTTTTTCTTTGATGCAATAATTAAGATTATCTTTATATACAAATAATATTTGATAACTTGCTGAACATGTTATGATTAAAA